GAAAAAGGAGGTAATTTTTGGACTAGACTGTTAATGAGGTACACAAATTGAAGCTTATTTAATAAGCTTTCAGATGCTCTTTATAGAATTTTGATAAGATATCACGTTCCATTGTAATTGTACGGAAATACGGAAAAAGTGAAAATTTTTGCGATTTTTGAAAATTTTTGAATTGCTATTATTCCTATACTATTCAATTTGGAAAAATAAATAAGTATACAAATTGAAGCTTATTAAATAAGCTTTCAAATGCACTTTACAGAAATCCGATAGGATGTCGCGTTCCATTGTTATTACACGGAAATAAGGTAAAAGCGAAAATTTTTTTCAATTTTTGAATTGCTCTGATTTCTAAACTAATCGACAGATTAGGCTCATCTTAGAACTTAACCTTGGAAATCGTCCTAAAAATAAGTATATTACGTTTTATTGAGATCCGTACAGAATTGCGGGAGTTAGAGAAGAGACAAGGCCGGTTATATCGTATATATATATATATACATATATATATATATATATATAAACTTGTAAACCATATGCATTTTCTGAATCCGCTTGACGAGCTGAATCGAAATATAGCAAAATTTTTCAAAAGTTCCGTCATGAGGACCAATGCAATAGTTAGATTTCTATGAAATCTACTAAAAATGTAAATTTAGCATTCGAAAATTTGTAAATTCTATATGGGCAAAATGCATTATATAAAACTCTGAAATTATGCATGGCCCAAATTCATATTTAATTTTATACAAAAGTTTATGTATTTTTTTATAAAATTAAGTAATTTTTTTTGATATGTTAATTTTATAGATCCATTCCCATAAGTTTGAAAATTTTTTCTGTCAATATAACATTATTTAACAATATAATTTTTACGTATTCTTGTCAATCAATTTATTATTTTTTTTTTTTGCTAATATTACATGGTCGTATAATAGTTATTTATTATTTCTGTAAGTTTCACATCATTTTTTTCCATATAAAAATGTAAATAGAACAAAATTATTTTCCTTTAAAAAATGTTTCATCATTTTTAATTCAACATTAATTATAAATTTCTTCTCTACTGAAAAATTTATATTAAACCAACAATAGTTACATCCCATTAAAAATAATTAACTTACGTAAATTAATACTCTAGTGTAAATAAAAAATTTTTATTAAAAATATATCGAAATAAAAATCTTCTTGGCGTAAAAAAATCAGCTTCAATTATTTTTTAAATTACAGTAATGAAACTCCAGCGGCTATGATAGAATTAATTGTTAAGGATATAATTTTTTTAGTGCAGAGTTATTGAATTTATTTTTGATAGTATAAAGTTTTTTTTTATCAAAAAAATACCATCGCAAAATTGATAAAATTAATTAAGAAATCGAATTTCGGATTAATACAAATTCAAGCACAGTACCAATTAATTAGGGACATTACTTCTGTTGAAGCATGAAGATTTATACAGACATAGTTTTGTCATCAACTCACCTGTCTTGTAATGCTGTGTTTGCAGATACCACAACAGCCCGCAACGTCTAAGCGCGGCGATGCGTCAGAGCATGGCGAAGGATCCTGTGGCGCCTGTCCTGTGGGAGCCTCACCTGAGTGCACTTGACAGACGGATAGGTCTCATCCTCCAAGCGGTAAGAGATTGCCTAAATCGGAGCGAGCACTACGAACAAGTCATCCAAGAACGTGACGAATCTAATAAACAATAACATCTATTATTCCTCTCAATATTGTTGTTACTACCTTATTAAATTTGTATAAAGCTATGTATAAATAATTTTTATAATCATAACATAACGCGTGCCTAATGCCAAAAGGGCGTATAATTTTTAACTTCCCGTTAAGTTGTTTTTCATTCTATATATACATATTATGGATTTTAACTACAATTTTACGCAACGGAATCGGTGGTTTGAATTTTTAGGCGAGAGTAAAGCATACCTACACTTGCGCTTAAGGTATACAATTAAACAAAAATATATCTTTTATTGCAGCTATGGCAGGCAAGAAATTATTATAATTATTCGAAGTTAAAAAATACAAGAAAAAACTAATATCAAAGTACGAAAAGTTTATTGGGGTACAATTTCTGCACATTCTCTATCTGCATCTTCTACATTTTCGTCTGAAAAAAAATAAATTTATAAAAAATATGAACATTTCGGCTGCCCAATTTCAAAACACAGCAACTGCAAAATTTTTATACCTAATTTTTTTTAATATTGCTGCATTTTTTATAACTTTTAGACCTTAATTTAAAGTATTTTTTTTTTTAATATTAATATTCAAGTATTTTGTATTCATAAATCAAATTTTTCATCAATTTGGCAGGCAAACTTTTTTTTGAACAGAATTGAAAAAAATTTCTAAATGTTAGTTACTGTGTTTTGAAATTGGGCAGCCGATTTTAGTACGAGAAAAAGTTTTCAATTCATATGCTTTTTTAATCATTAGTCTTGAGGTCTGTCCAAGATGATGAAAATTTAAAATTACTACTATCGAAAATGTTAATTTTTTCAAAATTTTTTTTTATACAACCTTCTCCGGACAATTTTGAAGATTGTGTTTCGAAATTTTGAAAAATACTGATTTTTTTTATACGCCCTTTTGGCGTCAGTAAGTCAAAAATTTCTAACTTCCCGCTAAAAATCTCAGATTTTCAAAAATCGGGAAGTTATTGTTTTCACCCCGTTTTACAAAAATCGAGTTTTCATCAGATCTCGACGTTTGAAGGTCACAGGAAGCTTCCCTGACTATTTTTACGATGATGTCCGTACGTCTGTATGTATGTGTGTGTGTGTGTGTGTGTAAACCTCTTGTAACTTTTGAACGACTTGACCGTTTTCATCGCGGTTGGTGTCATTCGAAAGGGCTTCGCCAAACTTAGATTTCCTGAGAGTTGGAACCAATTCGGACCGGTAGATTTCGAGAAAATGCAAAAAAAGTGAAAAAAAAAAAGTTGTTTTTTTTTATTTTTTTCAAATATCTCCGAATTGGCTCAACCGATCGGTCTCAAAAACTAATCAGCTCTTAACCTTGAAAACCCCCATCGATCGCCACCAAAAACGTCAGAATCGATTGATGCGTTCGTGAGATATCGTTGTCGAAAAAAATCGAAAAAAGTGTTTTTTTGTAATAACTTCGAAATTCATGGCTCGATCGATTTAAATTTGAAAATTTTTCATGGAGCTTCAAAAACTTGTGTTCAAACACAAAAATTCAAAAAATTGTGTCTTTAAACTGCTATTAGAGTTTTGAGCTCGAAGAGCTCAAATTGACACAAAAATAATATTTTTGAGCTCGAAGAGCTCAAAAACGTAATGTGTAGTTTAAAGCGTTTAAGTACAAAATGAGCGGGAAGTTGCAGGGATGGCCTTTAGGGTCAACCGTCATCCTAATTTTTTTTCTTCAGATCTTTACGTTTCGAGTGATTCTAAAAAGAATGGCAAAAAATAATTTTTTATACGCCTTTTTGGCATTAGGCATGCGATAAGCTTTAAATGCATCATATGCACATGTAAAGTGTAAAGTCACTACCAATATGATAGTTATTTTAATATGTATGTTAAATTTTATAATTGTTATCGAAGATTTTTAATCTGTGGATTTATCATTTTGTATTGTATTGTAATTTTTATTTATTTATATTATAAAAAACAATCCACTATTTTAATAATCTTTGATAATGACTGTATATTATGTAAAAATATAATTAGTTTAATCTAACCGTTAGGTTTTAATTTATCGAAAATATTAATGTTAAGAAATATTTTTTCAAATTTTAGTTGTTAATTGATTTTTAATTTTATTGTTTATTTATTTTATTTTATCAATCACATATTTTTCTCCAAATGTTATCAATGAAGTCACAAAAATTAAAACAATAAATGAAAGTAAATATAAAGTTTGTAACTTGATACAGGAATAAATATAAGTTAAGTTTTAACAATCTGAATTTTCCACATAATATGTAATAGTTCACTGTCCTAAATTCGTCTATTTAAATTATTAAAAAATTAAACTAGGTTGGTAAATAAAGTTGAGATATTATTACCAATGAAATGTTTAATTCAGTTTTTATTCTATCAATTTAAAAAATATTGAATCGCTCCATTCTTATTGTCCTAATTTTTATGACTTCATATATATATCACATTTTATAAGAAAAAAAAAAAAAAAAAAGATTTTTAATATTGAAATTTATGTAAAACTTCAAAATAATAATAATAATAATATCAATATAAATATAATAAATATAATGTTTGATGAGCATTGTAAACTAAATAATGTAAAAAATAGCCAGAGAACATATCTGTATTACGTTAATTTTTTTTGTAAAGCTAAGATCACAAATATAGATCAGGTTTATTTTTCGACTGCATGTAAATATGTGTACTGTGTGCAATATATCTTGTACCTATAAATAAAGAATTTTCATTAAAAAAAAACTTCAAAAATATCATTCCAACTTTCCTATATAATAATTTTTTTATACACTAATTTGATAACCAGTGACACAAAATCATTTGAAAATGTATCATGTTCCTTTGTAACATGCGTCATAAATCATAATTTAGATTTTTAGTATAATTTCAAAGCATTAATAAATTAACGATGAATTTAAGTTTGGTACTGAATTTTATTTTTTATCTAAAATTACCGAGGCATTGTTCAGAATTGATTGCATTATTTCATAAATTTTAAGGAACTTTTTTTGAAACGTAAAATGGTACCTCCAGCAGAGTAAGTAAAATTAAAACTTAACAACTTTAAATAGTCAAGATTCAATCGGAAACAAAATTGAATTATTCCACCACTGCGATAAAATGAAAACAGAATTAAATTGGACATTTGAACCGATGAAAATAATTATAAATTAGTTTATTTTTGGTACACACTGTGATCGAACAATATGATTGTAATATCCGCTTCGCTTCGAATTTCTTCAATACTAAACGACCCTCTAATGTCTAGACAGTCAATAAAGAGTATTTATATATTTTTTGGTAATTAAGGAAATCCTTTCGCTCCAGTTGAGTCAAAACAATTGTAGTAGTCAATATACGATAAATTAAAATAAAAAAACCCATAAAAATTCCTAAAATTAAATAATAAATAGTATATGAGGCATTAATCGTTGAAACTTTGAAAAAAAAAAAAAAAAAAAATAGTTAAATACAAAAATTAATTTGACTCTTTCAAATCAACTGCTAGTAACCTGTCCGTGATTTGACAACGTTGTACTTCGGTTGTTTACATTTTCATTTGCACAATATAACCTTAACCACGTTTAAGTTTTTGCAGTCAGAGTAAATAAATAAATTAGTTTGA